TGTGTGTGTGTGTGTTCAGTTTTCATAACTTTACCTGAATATGGAGATTCACTCACTCACATGTTTAGGACAAAATAAATTGAAAAGATCTAAATCATAAAACTTTCTTCTGGAAACTTCCACCTGGATCCACTGCAGGTTCTCCTACACGCTCAGCTCGTTGCAGTCTGCACCTTCACCACTAGAGGCCACTAAACCATCCACACCGCCCCTGTAAAACATCTTGTGGCTGTAGTGAAGTTAGCAGCCTATAGGGGGCGCTAACAGCACTTGACTCTCGGTGTGGTTAAGTTTTGAGTTTGATCGACTGACCCCCCCCCCCCCCCCCCCCGACACTCTGAAGACTTTCAGTTTTCACTGTCGGCCATGTTTGACTGTCGTCTGTTCAACGACCAGATTCAGACTCATCGATCAGCTGCAACATTAAACCAGACCATGAGTGTGTGTGTGTGTGTGTGTGTGTGTGTGTGTGTGTGTGTGTGTGTGYRTGTGTGTGTTATCAGTGCTGTGCAGCCCCCTGATCCTGGCAGAGCTGAGTCGGTTCATGCAGGGGGTAATGTGTCCTTCTGCTGGTGTGTGTGTGTGTGTGTGTGTGTGTGTGTTTGTGTGTGTGTGTGTGTGCATGTGTGCATGTGTGCATGTGTGTTTGAGTCATGGTGCATGGATAAAGCGATTAGGGAAATACACCCATGAGGAGAAAGAAAGAAAGAAAACTGGAGGAGAGAAAGATGGAGGAGCTCGGGAAGGAAAGGACGGAGGCTGATGGACAGAAGAAAGATCTGAGTGGATGAAATGAAAAGAGACAGAGGGACAGAGAAGAGTCTCAGCTGTGTGTGTGTGTCTGTGTGTGTGGTCTGGGTATTACTCACACACACACACACTGTAAATGTCCGTCCTTATATTAAAGTGCATTTAACTGAATCTTTACTCGAGACAAAGTTTGGTTCAACGTCCCAAAGACCTGAATCTCTGCTGATGGTCACCGTGGTAACATCCAGCTCCGTGATCAGAATCATCATCACATCGACCTGCACATCTGGAGCTCCGACCGGTTCACGACTCCTGACGGGACTCTGATCCAGAGACGTGTTCCACTGTAAATCATCATGGTGGGTCAGTGTTGTGTTGTGGGTCAGTGTTGTG